AGTTGTTGACGTTGTTGAAGGTGATCTCGCACTCGAAGCACGTGGCGCCCTTGGTCCCCGCGAAGAGGCCCGCCGGCGCGCCCGCCGCGCCCGGGCCCTGCTGCAGCCGGGTGTGCACCAACTCGGACATCTTGGCGAGGATTTCCGAGGCCTGCGGCGCAGTGGGGCCCGGGGGTGCGCCCGCCTCTGGTGCGAACACGTACTGTGGCAGGAAGAGCGCCCCCGCCATGCCCAACTCTCCGGGTCCTGGACTGGAGCCGGGCGTGGGGCTGGACAGCTCTGCCTTCACCCTGGCTGGAGCAGGGCTGTGTGGCGATGGAGTCCTCGATGGGGCCTGAGGCCCTGGTTCTCCAGGCCCGGGAGCGCGCGCTGATTCAGGCTCCTCCACCACCTCCACCTTGATGCTCCTGGGGGCGGTTGGGGGCTCACTGCCTCCCCCGTTCTGGGGGGCCAGTCTGGTCTCTCCGTTGGTGGCCTCGGTCAGGGCCTTCCTGTCCAGTCCTGGCGATGGGGTGGGTGCTAGGCCCACATCGGGGGAGGCCAGGGGGCCGTGAAGGGTTGAGTGCTGCTGGAAGCTGGCCAGGCTGTCTGCAAGGAGACCAGGGGGCTGTACATCAGGCCTGGGGCAGTCCCTGGCTGGGTAGAGGCTGGGATGGGGTGGGCAGAGGGGTTTAGGGGCAAGGCTGAAATCGACTCCCTCTTCCCCCCCATTCTTCAGGGGCAGGCAGGGCAGCTGTGCAGTCTGCTCACCTGGGGGGAGCTTGGCAGCTGGGTGTCCGGCCCCTGGCGAGTAGATCTCACCCTTAGAGCCTGGCTGGCATACCATGTGGTTGGTCACCAGGTGGCTGTAGAGGATGTCCCTTGTGGTGGAGATGAAGCCACAGTTGTGACAGACACCTGTGGGCCATGCTGTGGTGGTCAGGGCCCTGGAGCCGAGGCATGGCCCCACAGACCCTCTCCACCCCCTGCAGCCCACCTACCACTCAGTGTGTCCGTGTGCACCTTGAGGTGACGTTCACAGTTGGCCTTGGTAGTGAAGGCTGACAGGCAGATGAGGCACACGAAGGGACGCTCTCCTGGAACACAGGGTGGTGATGGGCTGGCTCCTGGGCTCAGCCTGGCCTCAAATGCCAGTGACCAGGAAGGGGTCCTAGATTCAGCCATTTAACTCCTCCTTTTTGACCCCTGGTCTCCCAGGACCCTGGCCAGGGCCCAGCCCTTGGCTGACTGTACAGGTAGCCACAGGTGGGCTGCCTACTCTGTGCTATCTGTGAGGAGTGGCAGGAAGACCGCACAGGTGCCTGGTGGCAGCGTGTGCTTTCCTGAGCACCTGTCTGGTCTGTGCATAGTGTTGGGGTGAGGAGGTGGGCACTGCACACTGCCAGCCATGGCGGGTTACAAGCGGGTGTGGGGGGCTCACCGCTGTGACTACGCATGTGGATTTCCAGGGAGCTGGCGCTGGGGCAGCTTTTGCGGCACTGGGGGAAGGGGCAGACGCGTTCGTTAGGGTATGTCTCCTTGGGCTTCTCCTCCGTGGCTGCGGCCGGGGAGCCAGCACGCTGACGGCTGGCGCAGTAGTACAGCAGGTGGGCTTGCAGGTTCCGCTCACTGCGGTACCAGATCCCGCAGTCCTTGCACGGGAAGACGTCTTCTGTTGGGGGAGATGGCGAGGGCTGAGGGTGGGTATCTAGCAGGGCACAGAACCCTCTGTGCAGTGAGGGCCCTGACGCACCCTGATGTCTATCTGTCCCCAGGAGTGGGTTTGACCCTCCCTGTAACAGTCACTTCTTGACAGCCCTTTGATGACCTGGTTCCTCTTTCAATGGACTTCCAGGATACATGGGAATCCCACAAGGAAGGGATTTCAGTGAGCCCCCATGCCTGCCACCTCAGAGACACCCCCCACACCCAGGACATGCCCTGGCCTCATGGGGTACTGGAGGAAGGAGGAGGAAGGGGTATGGATACATGCCAGTGGACGTGTGTGTCATGGCTGGGAGGAGCGTGCATGGGACCTGTTAAGACTGGGTACTCCACACAGGACACCAGGCAAAGCTGGCTCTGTGCCACTCTGGGGGTGTGCAGCCAGGCACTGCATAGGGGCCTCCCTGCCCTGCTGGACAGCTCCACACCAGTTACTCACTAATCAGAATACCTGAGTTCACCAAATTCATCCAAATGGGTTTTTCCAGTTTATGGGAGTTTGGCTGTTTCGTGTCTCTGTGTCTTCCTCTTACTGGTGAGAATTCTCTAATGTGTGCCTGACCCTGCTGTGTCTCATTCTGTCTTCTTGTAGGCCTTGTAAGCAATGTTCTGTGTGTTGCTGCCAGTGGCCCTTGGAGCATATGGGCAGGGTGAGGAGCCCTTGATCTTGCTGTGGAACGAGGAGCCCTGGCCTGCTTATCTGGCGTTTAGACCCGTTCCCTTTAGAGACCAACGTCATGTCTTTTCATACTTGATTCTCAGCTCAGCTTCTCCAACTTTGACCCTGAGTTTCAGTGAGCAGTGGTGGCTGTGGGTTTCTCTCCCCAACCTCTTGAGGCTGCCAGGTTTCTACTTTTTTGCCTCTTTTAAGGAATTCAGTCATCTGTTTATTTGGGGAAGGCGGCCTCTTCCTTCTTTCTGTACTTGCAGTTTTTCTGGTGGCTTCTGCCCAAATCTTCCTCCTGTGTTGGTCACTTCTGATCTTGGATTTTGTTTATTTGGGGCATGTGCCCGCTCAGCTGGGACTGGGATATGAGAGGTCACAGGCTGGGGGGAGGGGGTCTCTTCTGTTTCTGCAAGACCATGGCTGGGAACTGTGCTGCTGGCTGGGCAAGGGGAGGGGGCTGTGGCTCTGAGAGCAAGCTAGATGGTTGCCTACCTGCCACTGACCAAGCCTTGGTCAGGTGCAGTTCAGATAGAAGCCTCGGGGCTGGTGTTCACAGGGAAGGAGAGAGGCCCAGGATCGGGCTCAGGAATTTCCCTGGGTCCAGCCAACCCTGGGCCTTGGAACCCTATGGCTCCTTAGACCACTATCTTGGTAGAGGCCTGTACCCTGGGGTCTGTGGAGGAGCTGGGCAGGGCTTGCAAATGTGACAGGGTGTCCTACCATGACATATTCCTGGGACAGTGCTACATACGGATGAAGCACTGACATCAGGGCACCCACTTGAGGACACAGGCTCTGAAGGCTGAGCAGGGGCTCCCTGCAGACACCCATGGGGCAGCTGGACAGCCCAGCAGGAGGCAGCCCAAGTGGACAGCAGGAGGATGTGGGACCCTCATTAACTCACTGCCCCACTTGTGCTGCCCTGGACAGTGAGGTGTCACGCACCCCAAGGACCAGTGGGTAGTACTCCTTCCTGCCTCAGGACAGGCCATTCCTGCCCCATCCTCAGATTTTGAAGCTATTCCCAGGAGAAGGCAAAACCAGATGGGACCTGTGCTTGCGGCCTCCTCCTGCCAGGTACAACATGTTCTCAGCTGCCCTTCTTTGTTTGGTGTGTGTGTGTGTGTGTCTGTGTGGTGTGTGTGGTGTGTGTGTGTGTGGTGTGTGTGTGTGTGGTGTGTGTGTGTGTGGTGTGGGTGGGTGGTGTGTGGGTGGTGTGTGTGTGTGTGTGTGTGTGTCTGTGTGTGTGTATCACGGCGGGAGGGGGAGGATCTTGCTCCTTTGGGAAGAACCCTGGGCCCCTTGTCTGGAGCCATCTCCAAGGTTTGCCTCTTGCTCTGCCAGCTGCCCAGGATAGTCGCAAGTGGCTGAGGGGTCTTGACATGGTCATTGTCTTTCCAGCGTAGTTTGCTCAGCGCTAGTATGTGAGGGCACTGCCTCTTGCTAAAGCCATGTGTGCTCTGGAGTGGCTGTCTCCACTTGCCAGGCCACCTTGGTGACCAGTGCTGTCAGCACTGTTTGCTTACAGTGGACACTGAAGGAATATTTGTGGGCTGAGGCAGACTTGCTCAGTCCTCACAGCCACTCTCTGAGCTTCCGAGAAGTGGTAGTCCACTCCAGGGCTATGCATGCAAAGCCACAGCTTGGCACGGGGGTGGGGGTGGAGGTCAGTCAGGTCTGGACCTCAGGCCAGTTTGCCTGCTATTAGGGCCTCTTCCCAGCATGTGATCCTCCTGTCCAGCACTGGGTTCAGTTCCCACTGCTGCCTTAGGGTCAACATCTCCCCTCTCTTCCTCTCATGCTGTCTGCAGCCTGGTGTCCCCTAGCCCCTGCTGCCCACATCCAGCTACTCTGGGGACTGGGCTCTCCCTGCCCGGCAAGCCCCTCTGTTCTCTCCCAGCACCCAGGCCATCAGCTGGGAACCATCCCTCTTAGGCTCAGTGTTATGCCCAAAGGCCTAATGGTTTTTTGGCCCTGAACATGCTAGCTGCTCTGTCTTATGTGCTGCCTGCAGCCTTGCCTTGGGGTGGGTGGTGGCTGTGTACTCACTGTTGATGACCGCTGTGGCAAGGATGGATGCCATACCAGCCTGCTGGGGCAGCAGCTGGATGTCGGTGTGCACTGGGGCTGGGCTTTCGGGCTCTGCTGGCTCCTTCACTGGATGGCTGGAGGTGCTGTGGGACTCGGTCGTGAGAAGCACACGTAGGCGTCCACCCGCAGGCACCGGCTTGGTGACCCTGCACCAGAGGGCATCATCTGGGGGGTACAGGCACCTGTGATGCTGGGGTCAGAATAGCTGAGCCTCCAACTGCAGTCCCTTTCCTTTGTCTCCATCTGGGCCCAGGGGTCCCACAGTACTGCCTGGGGTGAAAGTGGAACCAGGCCTATAGCACAAAGTGGCTGTACTGGGGTTCACAGGTGTGGCTGGCCAATTTACGTGGTGTGCTGTCCTGTTTCTGGGTAAAGCTGGGGGTTCCTTACCTGCCTGTCCCCTGGGCCTCCTTGCCCTGTGCCTTTCCCAGTGGGAGGACCCTGTGGGTAGGGAGCTTGGTTGCTTCATTTCAGGAAAGGTAGGGATAGGCAGACAGCAACTGGAGGGGGACCCTGAGTAGCCACTTGGCCTCAGAAAAGTGGCTAGGGGTGACCTGAGGTGGGGGCTGCAGGAGGGTTCTGCTACCTTTTTGTTGGAACCCAGCCAGGTGTGGCTATTACCATAGTGGCCTGCAGGGGGCAGCCTTGGACAACAAGACCAGACTGGGCCAGCAAGTCTACCTCCTGGCCAGCAGTCTCTGGGGCCTTGTGTCCCTGTAAGCACAGACAGGGCAGGGGCACCAGTGGCCTCAAGCCCGAGCTGGACCACACCCACAGGCACAATAGCCACTGTGTACTCTACTGGGGACTCTGCTGGCAGATGGATCCCATAGCAGCCCCCAGGGCTTCAGGGATCATGCTTACATCTTGTGTCTGGTGGGGATTTCCCCAAGTGCAGGTCCTGCCCAGAGCAGACCCTCCTTGTTAGCATTGGCACCGCAAGGATTCTTGCCCTTCCTGAGTGGCCATACTTGGCCAGGGCCCTTTGCACAGGCCTGCAGGCGAGGCAGGCCAGGCAGTGATAACCAGTACCCATCCTGGGGTGGCATGCAAACCCACAGCTGACCGCTCACGGCCAACACCCAGCCCACCGTGTAGTGAACGCTTCATTTCCCAGCACAGCAAGACCTTCTGGCTGCTCTCTCTGGATTATTAGACCACCCTTTGGTGGGCAGGTGGGGCTGAGTCCTCTGCCTTACAGATGGGGAAGTTGAGGCACACAGGGGTGAAGTACCAGCCCAGATCTCATGGAATTGAGGGCTTGGCTGAGGAACCTGCCCCTAGGTCCCAAAGGCCTTTGTCCCTGTCCTGAAATGGGAGTACCCTACAGGTAACTCTGCCTCTCCTGTGGGTGTGCTCAGAAGCCAACGCCAAGGATATCCTTTGTGGAAGGTTCTAGCAACCCATCCCCTCTGGATGTGTAGAGCTGTGGGGGCGCCACTCTTACCCCCAACTCCTGGAAGGTGGAGGAGGTGCAAGTAGTCACATTCGCTTCCTCCCCTTCCCAGCCGTTCTTCAGACAGAGACACAGGCCCCAGAAGGAGAGGGCCTTTCCAAGGTCCCACAGCCAGAGAGGGACACAGCTGGGTTTGAGCAGTATTGTAAGCACAATCCTGGTCCACCACCCCTGCCACCCAGCCTGGATTTTAGGTCGCTGCTGCTGCCCCACAGTGGTCCCCAGGAAGCCCTGAGAGCAATCACTACCAGAGCCCAGGAAGAGAGGCAGGAACCACTGTGGCCCCAGTGGGCAGGGTGTAGCTCAGCAGGCCCCAGCTCTTCCTGAACGGATCTAATGCGCCTCTGACTGCAGCTTCCGGGATGGGACTGTTGCCTCCACTGATGGGTATTGATGGGGGTGCTGGTGCGGCCTGAGCAGCCTGCCTCCACACCCGGACGGGCTGGTTTTCCTTTAAGGGCCAACATAGGCAGAGCCAAGTGACCCCCACCTTCCGGAAGGCCACAGGGAGGGAGGTACCACATGATACCAACCCTTCCTGTAGATCTCAGAGTTGGCTTCAGCCTCGGTCAGGGCCAGGGGCAGTGTCCTCAGCCAGCAGGTCTCATCCACAAGCAGCAGGGTCATGGCCGGGTCCTAGGGAGAGCAGGGACAGGGTGGGGTCAGCCAGCACAGGGAAAGCTCTCTACAGTCCCAGTGGAATGACAGGCTCCACTGTGCCTGTGGTGACCAGGCTAGGCGGCAGGTGCTTTGTGCTGTGGATGATCAGTGGCCTGACAGCTGACATCAGGCACAATGGAGTAGTTTGGGCACTGGGTCCTTGTGGAAACCAAGGCTCAGAGAGGTCAAGTAACATGCTCAGTGTTACATGGCCAGTGGCCAGCAGAGCCTGAGCTGCAGCCAGATCTGTGTTCCCTTTAGCCTGTCACCCCTTGTTAATGGGGCTACTGGCTGGGGCAGCACATACCACATCCCAGGCCCCTGGATGCTTCCAGATGACCTCCACGGGCAGCTAATCCCTAGAGATGGGCTTCTTGTCTCTCTCCTAGTGGGGCTCCCCTCCCTGGGTGAGGCACAGGAAGACAGGGTCATCTTTATCTCTGTTCACTCTCCTGGCTGCACTCTCTTCCCAAGCACCTGACCCCCTCTAGACTGTACGCACACAGCCCTACTGTCTCCTGGAAAGCAGACTGTCCCGTCTTCCCACCTCACAGGCAAGGAAACAGAGACATGGAGAGGGGAGGGGAGGGGAGAGAGCTTGAGTCTAGAGCTGTGCCATGTTCTTCCTCAGCAGTGTGCGTGGCCTGAGCCTGGAAGGCAAGAGGACTTGGCTCTCAGGACCGGAGGCTGCTCATTTCCTGCAGCTCCAGTGTCCTGGCCTCCAGCCCAATAGCAGAGGAAACACATGTGCCCTGTCCCGACGCAGCCTGGTGCTGGAGAAGGGCCGGCTGGGGCCCCGATTGTACAGGAATAAGACAGAAGGATGGGCTCAGAGTGTGGTAGGTAGGCAGATGGGCAGAAGCCTAGCCCTGCTTTGTCCTGGAAGGCGGGTGGCTGCTGCTTCCTGGGGTTTTAGTCCCCTCCAGCAAGCTGAGTCTTATCTCCTGTGTGGTGGCTCCCAGACCCAGTCAGCTGGGTGCTGTTTGGAAAGGTGCAGTACTTATCTGCACTTGAGCGGGTTTTTTTTTTTTTTTTTAAATAAGCCTACTTACTCTGTTTTATTCAAATAAAGCCTTTTACTAAAACTTTGTGTATTAGGCCCTCTAACTGCAAGCCCAGGGTCACCTGCTGATACCCAGAGAGGCCACTATTCCTGTAGGAAGGACAATGCCACAGCATAGAGGGAGATGGGGTGGTGAGTGGGGGGCACCTAGCTTTCCCGGATGTGGCTGCCACTGTGTGTAGTGGGTTCCACAGCCAGGTATCCAGGTCCATTCCAGGCTCTGCCTCCCCACTGAGACCCACTGGGACCCCTCTACCTTGAGATCTCATCCACATGGCACATACAGAGAGCCAGCAAGATAAGGCTTGCGGGCTGGGAACTCCTGGTGGCAAGGTCGAGGCAGCCCAACCAGGTGGCTTCTGCGTCACCTGCCTGCTGCCACGTGGCTCAATAATGGAGCAGGAGAGCAGAGATAAGCCGGTGGGGGGGGGGTGGTAGGAGAGAACTCCAAGCCCTGGAGGGGAGCCCCACAATTCCAGCCTTGGTTTCCCACCAGTGATCTTCCCTCTGCACAGAGCTGCTGTGAGGATGGTGGGGAGCCTGGATCCCTGCTCACTGTGGACATATCTTTGTCCCACCACCAGCCCTGGATGGGTCACCTCTGTCTCTCTGTGATTGCTTCCTCCCATGACACTGGGAAATAGGGGCATGTGGGAATCCCTCTGAGCAGGGCCTTCCTGGCTGAGAAGCAGGCTGTTGGCCACCAAACTTTTGCTTCCACTTTGGCCAGAAGAATGAAGTGGACAGGGGACACCTCTGGGCCGATGTAGGGTACGCATTCCACCAAAGAGCCTGCCTTTGGCCAGCAGGTGTCCCCAGTTTTAATGAACAGTCTGCAGAGTCCCAAGGCTGTGAGACAGGGGCAAAGGTGTCTGCGAGGTCACAGTGGGGCAGGCACTGGGGGCAATGTGGCAGGTAGTGCTTGGCTCCCAGGTTGGGGACTAGAGGCTCCTATGGCACAGCTGTGCCCTGCCTGGGTGGGTGGCTCGGTGAGGCAGCTGGGCCTGGCCCTCCTTGCCTTGGCCTCCTGAGTCCCTAATGAATATTAATGAGTGGAGGAGGGTGAGAAAATTAATCTGCCTGATCCCCGATGGGCGCTGCGGTAACGATATGAAATCTAATTATTCCTCCCAATATTTCTAAACCCTCAAACTCAGACTGACAGCCTCGCGGCCACGCTAACGCTTATCGCTCTGGGGCGCAGCATGTTCCCGGCATGATAAAAACACGCACAGCTCTGCTGACGCTGCACAACCCGGCCTTTCTGCGGAGCTCTGAGCGCAGGGAGCGCCACACCGCGTTCCTGACGGTGTCTGTGTGTAGGGAGTCTGCGTGGGGGGGAGCGGGAACAGGATGAGGAGGGAACCGGTGGGCTGCTACCCACCAACTCCCTAGGCAGCCAGGTCAGCAGGTCCCAAACAAAAGTTGGACCAGCCTGGCCTTCCTCCCATGGACCCCTCGCCCTTCTGAGTGGGACCTGTCAACCCACTTGTATGAGGAAGCCAGTGTCCCCTGCCTTCCTGCCAGTGTCCCCTGCCTTCCTGCTAGTTTGCCCATGGTCCCGCAGGGAGGAAGCATGGCCTGGCCTGTCCACCCAGGCAGCAGACCCCCACATCTGCCTGGAGCCACCCTCTCACCCACGCTGGCAGCAACAGCAGCCAGGGTCAGAGGATGTGGATGAGCATCTGCTTCCCTGGGGAGAGCTGGTACCATGTGGGGCACCCCAATTCTTTTATTTTCTTTTCTCATCTTCTTTTCCCCTGCTTCTAAGCAGCTAGGGACCAAAGCCCCCTTCTCTAGCATTGAAGACACTGGCTGAGGCTCCTCCTGATCCTGCCCTGTGAGGTATGGGGGCGGGGGGGAGGCCTGGGAGGGGTCTATTTTTCATTTCCCATCTTGGCCCTTTTGCCCAGACAATGGAAGACATGAAGCTGTGGTCACCTTCCTCCCTGGGCTTGGTGCCCAGCCAGGGCCCCACTTGTCCTGGATAGGTGTGTCCAGGGTTGGCGAAGGGCCCTGGAGTCTACCCCGCTCGCTGTCCTTTGGAGTCATCGTCCCTCCTTCCTGGTTCCCTGGCCAGCTCCACCCAGCCTGGGATGAGGGTGGCCACTTTAAATTCTCCCATGGATCTAAGAATCCTCCTGTTCCCCCAACAAAGAGGTCAGTGTCTCAACTCTGTAGGGTGATAACCATCAGAAATCCTATCTGCACTGCATCCGCTGTGACAGCTGTATCTGAGGCTGTTCCCAAACCTCACTGGGCATCAATGAAGCCACCTGGGTAGGGGAGATAGGGCCCACTTTGGTGGGGAGCTGGCCACCCCCCCCAAGTCACCCTGGGCTGAGGTCCTGTGGTCACCAGGTGGCTTCCATCAGACCCCCCAACCCTCTCCCATCCTTCAGTCCATCCAGAGAGGCCACTGGCCCCTCCCCTTCCCATGATTATGGCCTCAGTCTCCTTACTCTCCCAGATGCTATAAGAAGCCCACTCTACAGGGAAGGTGCTGAGTCCCAGAGGTGACCGTGTGCACAGAACCACGAGGCTTGGCCACACCCCTGCACCTTTTCCTTCATTCATTCCCTGATCGAGCACGGCTTCCGAGGACCAGCTGTGTGCTGGGGACACTGCAGACATGGAGGAGCAAGGGGCAGGAAATAGGGAGGAGCAAGGGACAGGGAACAGAAGGGACAAGGGACAGCAGGGAGCAGGGAACAGCAAGCACAGGCCTGGATGGTGACTGGGAGGATAGCTGGGTGCTGTCTTGGGTCCTGGAGGGAAGGTGCAGGTTCCACAGTGCGTGTGCCCTGTGCACGCTTGCTGGTCAACCCTCTATGCCAGGTGGATCTCAGCCACCCCCTCCAGGCCCCCAGCCCTTTATCTTGGGGTGGTCTCTGGCTCCAGGGGGGGGTCAGTTGTAGGAGGGCCTGATGGCTGTGATTGCCCCAGCTCGAATGTGGGGCGGTGAGGGGGGAGGTCTCAGGACAACCTACTTCCCAAGGTCTTGGGGTGGTGGGAGGGGTCCCAGAGCCTGGGTACTTTCCAAGTTCCTCTGCCACAGGCAGGGAAACTGAGGCACAAAAGACAGGGTGCCCAGGATTCCTCAAGGGCAATGGCAGGCCTAGACTATTTTTTTCCCTGCCTGGTATTCCAGTCAAGGACCTGACCATCCTCTCAGGGGCTGCCCACCCCATGGAGGGCCAGGGTACCCACCTGGGCTGAGCCCCATCTCTGCTGCCTGCCAGCTTTGTGGAGTGGGCTGGATGGTGGTCTCCAGATATGTCCACCCATCGTGACCTTATTTAGGGAAAGGGTCTTTGCAGACGGAAAAAGATCTCAAGATGAGATGATTCAGGATCAGGGTGGGCTCTAAACCCTGTGACCTACGTCTCTCAGAGAGAAGAGGCAGGGAGGAGATAGAAAGGCCACATGAAAACTGCGCAGAGACAGTGATGTGTCCCCTGCCAAGGGTTGCCAAGGACCACCTGGGACCGCAGACACTGGGAGAGGCCGTGGGCAGATTCTACTCTGGAGGCACTATAAGACTGGCACTGCACTTTATGACCTCTGCTTTCTGGTTTCCAGTGTGGAAGGGAAGAAACCCATGTCAGCTGTGGTGCTCAGGAGATCTCAGTGGGGAGGATCTGCCTACTGCCAGGATGTGTTCAGGCACCACCCATATTCCAGTTGGGGACAATGAGGATAGGTGACCAAGAGCCTGGGTAAAGCACTCGCTGCATGGCTGGTGCCAAGGCCAGCATCCCAGACACCAAGCTCGGCACCATTGGGTAGGGGCTGGCAGGCCACGAAGGGCCAGGTGGTAATGGCAGGACACCAGGCCGTCCCTTCTGCGCACAGGACAGTTTGGCCAGCACCAGGGTGGGCCAGATCTGCCAGCAGGCAAGAGGGGGGATGC